TCACCTTTTTCACCCCCAAACTACCCTCCCCTCTAACAGCTGTCAGTCTGTTGTACCTATGAGTCTGTTTCTATTTTGTTTGTTAGCTTATTTTGCTCATTAGATTCCACAAATAAGTGAATGTGATACTTGTCTTTCTCTGACTGGCTTATTTTGCTTAGCATAGTACTCTCCAGGTCCCTCCATGCTGTCTCAAAGGTAAAAGATCCTTTCTTTTTCTTTTTTTTTACAGCTGCATGGTATTCCACTATATAAATGCACCACAGCTTTTTTATCCATTCATCTACTGATGGGCACTTGGGCTACTTCCAAATCCTGGCTATTGTAAATAATGCTGCAATGATCATAGGAGTGCTTATATTCTTTTGAATCAGTGTTTTGGGTTTCTTTAGATATATTCCCAGAAGTGGAAAGACTTTATTTTAATAAGGCAGATCATCAACAGCTGCTGTTTTCCTACTCCCCAATCCATCCCTTATTCTGATTCCCAAATGATTTTTCTAAAAAAGTGAATCTAATCATGTCACTCCCTTAATCCCCTCAATGCTTCCATGATTGGCTACAAGGCAACATTCTAACACTTTAAAAGGTTTGCAAAGCCTTCAGAATTTGTCCCCCGCCCTTCTCTAGAAGGTTCTCTCTCTTGTGTCCATCCGTACCTAAAGACTAAGTTTCAGGAAATAAGTGGGTTCTCAGCCAGAAATCTAAACCAGGTTTTTGGTGAAAATGAAAGAAATCCCGGGAGCTTTTTCTCTTCACTCTGGATCCTGAAAGTGATCTCTGAAACCTGTGACCTGAGAAAACAAGCCGTAGTGTTATCCTCTTGGCTTTAATGGGATCTGTAAATGTTCCAGCCTCATCTCATTTTTACTGCTAAGCAATAAAGGAAGAGCTATGTGCTCGTGTGCGGGTCAATGTTAAAGTGGAGCATGACCCTCTAAGGACAGTGGTGGCAGCAGCAGTAATTAATGGCATTCCTCCCAGGGAGGTGACCTGCTCAGGATGACAGAACCAGTTTGTTCCTCCCAGGTGGAGATGCTTCCTGCACCAGTCTTTACAGAGACTGTTTTAGTTTCATTAAAGGCAGCTGCAGTTTCCTTAGCCCACAGGTAGACCAGTCTCATCTGGTCTAGAAAGATGAACTCACTACCTCACTGTGATGACTCTTATTTTTGTTTATATTTTTATTGATTTCAGAGAGGAAGGAAGAGGGATAGAGAAATAGAAACATCAACCATGAGAGAATCATTGATCAGTTGCCTCTCGCACACGCCCTACTGGGGATTGAGCCTGCAACCTAGGCATGTGTCCTTGACTGGAATCAAACTCAGGACCCTTCAGTCCGCAGGCCAATTCTATACCCACTGAGCCAGACCAGCTAGGGCTGCAGCCATCATTAATCTGCTATAAGTGTAACATCTATTAGGCAAATGTACCTGGTAAAAAGCAAGATTTCACCTATCCATCCCCACACAAATATTAGTACTACGCCAAGTCCTTAGCAATTGACAACAATGTATTGGTTGCCTTAAAGATGAGGCACTATTACTCATATTGTGTATAACTTTAACAATGTTTTGTATATTTAATGGTTGATCATCAAAGTTCTCTAGTTTTATTACTTCTTTGATTTGTACATGTGCATTTTATCACCAACATTTTGAGTTACAGGAAGCATGTACTATGCTTTTTATGACGCACATCGGAGATCTTAAGAGTATTAAAAACTTTATTAATGCCCAGGGTATCATTCAGCCTACCTAATACCTTTGATTTACTAAAGTCACAAAAGTTATGTTGGCCTGGTATGTGGATATAACTTTAGCCACATGGTGAAGCATGGCTTTGTACAGGTGTTTTCATATGTCTGGTCCACTGACATCTAAGAAATTCAACCCTGAGGTCAGAGAGAAGAAGCAGAAGACCTAATAAAAACCACATGTTAATCGTTAATGTTCATTTACCAAATCCTACTTAAACTCTTGTACTCTCAAAGCTAATTTCAGCCAATTGCCTTTTAATTATAGTCTCTTGCTCAGAGTTGCAAATATAATGGCTTTTTAATGTAACTTGCACTGTTCTGTGTCCAATGTAGGATGTAATCATGCAATTTATTCAGTCAGAGTTAGTGCATTAGGTAATTAAAACATAAGCACATACAAATTTCTATGCATGCATATTCGGTAGGAAAGTAATATATGATAAACATGCTTTGGATGGAATTCTTTGGGGATAGAAATCCTATGTCTATCAATATGCTATACCATTGTATATTATACAGCGAAATGCAAAAATCAAGTATAACTCCTTGGGAGACCCGTGCACATATCACACAGAATAAAAGAAACTAGTGTAAAGTAAGAATGTAAGTGGGTTGATACATTTTTTACTATCTTATCAGTCTTGGTTCATATACTTAATCAATGCAGGATAGTTCTCCATTATCTAAAATGTTAGGATGTGAGCAGACCCTCAGCCTTCTATCTCAGAAAGGTAGAAATGACCAAAAGGGTAATGAGATTTAAGATAATTTTCACTAATAAAAATAAACAATGTAACTATTTTTAAAAATCTTTTTAAGAGAGGTGATTGCTTTTGAGTAAGAATTGACATATGCATGGGTAATAGTTCTGTTTTTTTGTTTAGCGAGCATGTATTACTTTAGTCAATTTATCCACCTTTATTTTTCAGTAACCAGATTTTATGTAAAAATAAAAAACAATGCTTCTTTTATTAGCTATTTTTAAATTATAATTTTGATAACTATGTTTTAAAAATTATATTAAGCTATTTTCCCTATTTATACCATACTGTATTAATTGCCATCTATGCCCTATGTGTTTGTGGTACTGAGAAAGCAATGAGCATTTCTCTATTGTTATTGTCCTGTTTGTTTTAAATATTTTTTTTTCAGTTTACTTTCAGTATTAGTTTGTATTGGTTTCAGGTGTATAGCATAGTGATTCGACAATTATATACTTTAAAAATTCTTCTCCCTGATATTTTCAGTACCCACCTGGTCCCATTCATGGTTATCACAATATTATTGACTATATTCCCTATGTTGTACCTTACATCCCCATGACTATTCTGTAACTACCAATCTGTTACCTTCTGACAATTAATGTTTGGGGCATAAAAAAAGCGGGGGAGGGGGGGGGGAAGGAGGGAGGATATTTGCCATGAATTCAAATACCAGCATGAAAACAAAAATACTTGTTCGTTCATTGGGATTTGTAAAATGCCAGTATCTGACACATGTAGACATCTAGAAGGAATGATTTCCTTTTTCAGTTTTCTCTGGATATGTGCTCACACATTTTGTGCTCATTCTTCTTACTTAAAATACAAATGTAGAAAGTATATGTACATTTCTTTTGCAAAACATTAAGACTTCAGCTGACATATTCTCATCTTCTTTCCCCGCCCTCCACCCCCCACCCCCATTAAACTTACATTCTGAACAGTTTTAGGGTTCCTCTTTGGAAAAGAAAAACAAACAAAAGAACATCCAGGAGGCTAGCCAAGTAGCAACCTATCCCTAATTCAGAGTTTGACTAAGCCTTGAAATCCAAACACAAGCTCTTTCTCAGATTGATGTTCCTTATGCATTTAAGCTTCAGGGTTGTAAATACTTCGCTTTTGTCCCCTCCAGTTCCAGAAAAAGTGCTCTATAGAAATAGACCAGCCTTCACACAGAGGAAGCCAACCTTGATCCTTCTTGATGCCCCGAGTCCCAGGTCTGAACTTTGCAGCCTAAACCCTGCCATTGATTTTATCTAGTCCCAGCTGCTCTCTATCTAATCCTTCCCTTTGCCTGGTCTTCAGAGGTGCTATGTCCTAATTCAACTCTGAAGTAAAAATCTATAGAGTAAAGCAAATACTGCTGTCAAAGCAAAAACCAGACAAATATATATGCTCCACCATCTCGGTCAAATTCCCATCCTAAATTCTATACTTGGGTGTTTCATTCAGAGGAAATTCCAAATGTATGAATAGATTATTTATCCAACGTTCCTTTCAGTTTGAGATTCAGGACCCATATTCCTATAGAAAGCCATACATGTGTTTATATTGTGGCATTTCTAAAATCAAGATTAACCTTAAAGTTTGTTTGGTGTACTGGTTCCCCCCCCACCCTCCCTGAAAGCTGTTACATTCATGGTATATATCACCATTATCTCCAATGATGTCTTAAATCTGAAAATCAAAGACATATGGGTATTCTAACTATATGATTATCTATAATATTGACCCTGGGGAAAAATGCATTCCAAGTTTAAATGGCTGCATATTTTCTGTTCATTATAAGGTGATTCCAATAAGGGATTCAGTTTGTAAGCACAAAAACAAGTTAATCTTTATATTACAGCTATAGTTTTATTTTTACCAGCTATTCCTGAATGATCAATTTTCCCCTTTAATGAGATTAGTTAACCACTTTCTCTAAATTTTCATTCCAAAGCATATAAGTACCCCATATTCTGATCCATCTATTAAAAACAACTTTCTCTTCCTGGTCAGGTAGCTCAATTAGTTAGAGCATCACCCTGATACACCAAGGTTGCAGGTTTGATCCCTGCTCAGGGCAAGAATCAACCAGTGAGAGGGGTCCCAGATTGGAGAGGGTACAGGCCAGGCTGAGGGACCCCCCACCCCCCACCCCCCACGAATTTTGTGCACTGGGCCTCTAGTGTGAAAATAAGCCCCTTATTCAACAATCTAACTCATAACATTAAGAATTACTCTTTTGAAGTAAATTTATTACTGACCTTCCTGTTGGAAGCACATTCTGTACACAATGTTCTTAGAATGATTTCACAATGAATAGGAGCATCTTAGTAACATTTAAAAATATGCCTCATAGGGTTGCAACATTGATCCAAATATTCTTTCCTGAAAATAATCAATGAGGCATATTTGTCCTCAATCACTCTTTTGTTCAAATGCTTCCCTTCTTCACATCTTTAAAGATTTTTTCCCCATCTTCTTCTTATTGATTATTTTTTATTTGCATGAGTTAAGATGTGAGCTTTCAGGTTACCTGACTGGACAAAGCTCCTATGACAGCCTTCAAAGGAACACACAAAAGCCCGCTCCCCGGTGTGGATGCGCACATGTGTACGCAAGTTGAAGTCCAGGGAAAAGCGTTTTCCGCACCCTTTAAAGGTGCACAGAAAAGGCCTCTCTCCAGTATGAGCCATAAAATGTCTTTTTAGTTTGGAGTTCTCAGGAAACGCTTTCCCACACTCCGCACACACGTGGTTGCGGGGGCCATGAACGAGTTGGAGATGCTTTTTCAGGGAACGTCTCGTCTTCAGCTCTTTTGCGCATTCACTCTGAGGGCAAACAAATTTTTCTGGAGCATCATATTCCCCATTTTTTCTTGGCTTATTTCTAGCAAATTCTGCAGGCCGGGTGGGATCTAGCAGGCTAGCGTTGGGTGTTTCTCCAGGAGGAGGCTTCTTGCCTGTCATGTGCTCAGAATGCTCAACAAGTGATTTCTCTCCCACATTCTGTGGAGGAAATTCTTGTTTTGCCTCCTTTTCCATGTATTGCAAGGAACATTCAGAAAGTGAGTTTGCATCAACAAAAACCTGTTGAGAAAACTCTTGCTCTCGTCCTCCTCCCAGGCAGCTGAAGGACTTAAGAAATATGTCCTCTTCCCGGGTGGGTTCGGAAAACTCACCTCGTATGATGCACTCTATGTAACAGTCAGAGAAGGGGTCCTCTTCACCAACCTCATAGCTGATCTCGTGGCCCCCAACTTCATCCCACAAGGCCCTCATCACGGTGAGGGGCTCCTGCTGGGCTGGCTCTGGTGTGGCTGGATTTGGCTTATTCCCACCGAGGGCCCTTCTGCCCCGGCCTTTCCGTCCACGTGTCTTTGCCCTTGTATTCAGTTGCTGCTCCATGTTGTCCTGTGGTTCCTCCTCAAAGATTTGCACCAGGATATATCAACCACTTCCAGGTAGCAGTGATCTGGGTAAGTCTTCAGCAGGTATCTGCTTTGAAATAATAACGATGAGGTAAAACATTAGAGCCATTGTCAGAAAATGACCTAAAAAATTAGCCTAGAACTTTCTTCAATAATGGAATGACTACATTTAACCCCGTCTTCCTTGACAAATTCCACAAGAGAGTAAGAGAATGAGCTCTGATGTAAGATATGGGTCATAGCCCTATCTTACCCTGTGGGGATGTCCCTTTGTTTATTGGGCACTCACTCTATGCTAGCCCAGGTCTAAGCTGCTCATGGGTGGAAACACATCTGTAAGTAACACATGAGCACACTCATAGAGTACACTTTCTCATAAGCATACGAAATAAGTCTGTATGACATCTGTTATAAGGTAAAGTGCTATAGGATAATGCAAGGGGCGGGTAGAAAGCAGGAGTTTGCAATTTTGAACAGGGTGTTCGGGGTAGTGGCAGTTGACTAAAAACTTGAAAAAGGTAAGAGAGCAAGGCATGCCTATTTTCTTATGGAACACTGTTATGAAATTCAAATTAAATAATGCATATGAAGTGTTTAGCACAGTTCATGGCACAGAGCAAATGCTGAATGCTTCTGTGAGCCAGTGTTATTTGATCAGCTCTGTATTCACCCTGTAAGTATAGGTGGAACCCTGTTATGTGCACGCGCTATTCTAGACCAAGAGTGGCGAATGTCTTCTGTAAAGAGCCAGATTTAAGCTTCTCAGGCCCTATGATCTCTGTGGCAACTATTCAGCTCTGCCATTGTAGTAGGCGCAGCCATAGATAATACACAGAGGATGAGCATGACTGTGTCCCATAGTTTTCTGTCACTTCCTGAAAAATGTAAGAGTTATGGAATGAATTTATTATATCCTTTCTAAGAGCCCTTTGCTTAATGTTACAATTGTGTGCCTTATAAAAGATCTCTTACTTTTATTGTCCTAACACCCCGCTGTAGGAACAAAAATGAAATGCTTTTAAAAAGGGGGCATATATGAAAGCACTGGAGTGAAAAGGAACCACTTGAGATTATTCTTTTGAGATGGTATTTTGATTCTTTTAATTTTTTCTAAAAAAATTCAGTAATGGCTGACATACAATATTATATTAGTTTCAGGTGTAAAACGAAGTGACTAAACCTTTGCATAACTTGCAAAGTAGTCACCCCAACCAATAAATCTCATCCTGTCTGACATTGAGGCGGAATTTTAAAATATAGCTATTTAAAATTATTTTCAAGCTGTTAATATATAATGTATTTTATATGTAATATTATACACATAAGATGTAATGTTTACATACATATTTTACATATACATATAAAATGTATAAAGTTACAAGTGTTTTTATTTATTCTGTCATTTAGAAAAGTAAAATAAACCAGGGAGACTGTGTCCAGGAATATTTATCAAAGGAAACCTTGTTCTTGTAGATAAAAATAATTTTGTATTAATGAATATAGCACCTCTGGAGTGAAATCACTGGGAACGGGTCTAAGTCTGAGTAGGACAGAGCACAAAATCCCCCTCCCCCAACTCGTCTATTTAAAATAACTGTCACTTGATTTGATTTCAGTTTTGCTCTTCATATTATCTCTTGCCATCTCCAGCTCTATTTCATTTTCAGTAACAATTAACTTTGCCTCCAATGAAGTGCCATGCTCTTCCCACTCCATAAAAATGCTACCTACCCTTACTCCCCCCCCCCCCCACTTCCCTATCAGTACTCATACACATACACACTTATTTCCAGTCCATACTTTAGATCCCTGCTTAAACATCACTTCCTCAGGCAAGTTTCCCTTGATTTTTAGGCTCAATTTGGTCCACAAGCTAAATGTTTCCCTATATCTTACACGGATTAGAGTCCCAGGTACTGATTATTTAAGGTCTGTCTTACCTACCAGACTGTCAGAATATGAGAGCAAGATCCTCTTCTGTCCTATGCACAGGTCCCAACTCTTACTTAGTCCAGTTGTCTAATGAAATGAATGCATAGATATGCATCAGTCATCATATTGGTGATATCTGATATAGCAATTCTAGAACGTTAATTTATTAGAAAATTATTTGGGACTTTAGACACACAATGTAGAAGTTTCAAAATGTTGGCTAAAAATGATGCTAAGGCATTATCTATCTACAAAGACATCACCTCTGAGAGTAGGGTTGAAAGAGGTATTTCCTTGATGAATTCACCAGGGTCCAAGGATAGCCCTTACCTTCTAAGCTAGATCCTTATTGATCATATTTCTGAGTCTTATGCCATTTCTCACACAATAGCAACCTTGTGAGGGTGATGTATAAAATTGAAATGGTAATTTATAATGGGAAAATTCCTGTTTATATGATAAGTACATTCTCTGATGGTGTTAATAACTACAAGGAAAATGTACTAGGTAAAGATGGTATGAAGAAAAAAACCTGGATGTTCAGAAAGGAGGGGGAAGGGGGCCTGGTGAAAAGGTGAAGGGATTAACCAAAAATCCCCAAAGGAACTCTCAGACAGACAATAGTATGCTGATTACCTGAAGGAAAGGGGGGTGGAGGGGAGTAGGAAGGGGTAAAGGGGGATAAATGGTGATGGAAGGAGACCTGCCTTGGGGAGGTGAACATACAATATGCAGATGATGTATTGTAGAATTGTACCCCTGAGACCTATATAATTCTATTAGCCAATGTCACCCCAGTAAATTCAATTAAACAACAAGCAACAACAACAACACCTAGATGTTAATGGCATGCAATTAACCTACTTTTATATTTCTCAAACTGGAGTAGAAATACTAAAATGGTGCATCCTGGACCTATTCAGTCACTTGAAGATATTTAGTTCCACACATCGTTCTGTGTGCCTACCCCAGACCAGTGAAAAGGACATGGAGTCCCAGGTTCGCGGGGTGGGGAGGGGGAGGGGGGGAGGGAATGGAGAAAGTGCGTGGGAAGCCATTTTTAGAAAGTCTGGAAAGGCCGCCATGGAGGGGCATTAGACTGAGCCCTGAAAAAGAGGAGTATTAGTTGGGGGAGGCATGTTCTTTCCAGGCTGCAGCTTGGAGTACGAAGGGATGGGCAAGCTGGAGGACAGAGGAAGCCATGCTTATTCCAAAATATGGCGGCGAGGGCGGAAGTGGCCCGAGAGAAGGTAAGGAGGAGCCATTTGCATTGCTTTCCCAAACCGGTGGGAACCATTACCGGCTTCCTTACAACCAGTGGGAACCATTACTGGCTCCCTTACAACCAGTGGGAACCATTACTGGCTCCCTTACAACCAGTGGGAACCAAAAGATCAGGGCTGATGTGTGGAGAATGGGTTGAGGGAGGGAAGAGTGAAACCAAAAAAATAAATAAAAAATAAAAGATCACCTAGGCGGGCTCTTCCTCCTGGGAGCACGGCTGCACCTTACCCCCCCTCCCCCCCACCCCCTTCTTCCCTCTCAGACCTGCATCTCCTAAACTCTAAGGATCCCCCGGACTTGAAACGGGAGGGAGCACTGGGGCAGCGTCTGGGGCTGGTCCCCTGAGCCTGTCCCCAAGGCCTTTTCTCTGACTTCCCGGTGAGCGCATAGCATTTCTTTCTTCTAACTTTCCTAGAGCAAAGCAGCCCCGCCTCTAGCGTCTTCTCTCCTAAGACCTTCCTGTTTCCGCTGTCCCCAGCGGGTGGTCCGGGTTTGTTTTGTTTTGCTGGAGTAATTGAGTGGATGATCGTACCATTTGCAGAGATAAATGGAAAAGGGGAGAAAGGGAAGACAGGCCTCGTCTCTTGATAATAAATAATGTAAACATTTTAATATAAAACAGACCCAGGCGAATGTTGTAACGCAATATACTTATATGATTTTTTCGAAACAAAAAAAAAATGCAACTTCAAGGAAATTTCAATCCGGCATCTGCTTTCTTGAAAGAATATTTACTTTCCACCCTTATCTGTTTTAAAAGTCGGACCTTAAGTGGCCCAAGACAGCCTAGGTCAGCGCAGTCTACACACTGGAAGTTTGCTGGCCAAGATCACCCCCCATCTGCTTCTAGCATGCTGTACGCGTCCCATCCGTGGTTGTCAAAACCTTATAATAGGGATCTACGGTTAAAAACACATTCTAACTGGTAAACTCAACACACACATCCTCCTGCATTTCTGAACAAAGCTAAGTTCCAGGAAACAAGACTTACCCCTTGATATCGTGCCACTCACTCTACTTCCTACTCCATTTCCTTTCAGAGCAAAGACAAGGACGAAGGTCCTTGTGCTCCCAAGGGCATTTAACACCCCCCGCCCCCCTGCTTTACATTCGGCCAGTTAGATCCACCCTCCTTTTGATGGACATATTCTAATCAGGCTGCACCTTCATTTCAACTCAGCACAGATTGGATTTTCAAGGAAAGGCTCTACCAATCTCTGCAAGGAAAGTTGCCTTGGGAGTGGTGCTGGGTGTGGCCCTGCTCGGGTCCCTGGTTGGGGTTTGGCGTCCTGGCCCTTGCCTGCTGCACGGTCACCTTCTCCTAAGGCAATGGTTCTCAACCTATGGGTCGCCACCCCTTTGGGGGTCGAACGACCCTTTCACAGGGGTCGCCATCGGAAAACACATATATAATTACATATTGTTTTTGTGATTGATCACTATGCTTTAATTATGTTCAATTTGTAACAATGAAAATACATCCTGCATATCAGATATTTACATGACGATTCATAACAGTAGCAACATTACAGTTATGAAGTAGCAACGAAAATAATTTTATGGTTGGGGGTCACCACAACATGAGGAACTGTATTAAAGGGTCGCGGCATTAGGAAGGTTGAGAACCACTGTCCTAAGGGGGGCACGCAGAGGTGACACCCAGGCAAGTGCTGCGGCTGCGTCATGTGGACAAACCTCTGAATCCCGGTTGCCTAACTTCAGCACGTACCAGGCACTCAGTAAATGCCCATTGCGCGAATG